GTGTGTGTGTGTGTGTGTGTGTGTGTGTGTGTGTGTGTGTGTGTGTGCGCGCGCGCGCTGCAGCCTGATTGCATATTTCCGGTTCCAAATGAGGTGTGTGGTTGACTGTTCATTTCGTAATGCTGGTGTTCGTAACTCTGAGGTTCTACTGTATTACACATGTCACCATGCTGCTGCTAAATGGAAAATACCAAAGCTGAAGATGAATAAATTATATTCTACTCTGCACAAAGGACACCTGAAGATACCACAGAATATAACATAATATTAGGTATCAAATGGATTTTAATTAATTGAGTTAGCACACTGTTTTTATGGATCAGATACTAATGCAAGCCTTGTTCCATTATGTACCTTGAAAAATCTGCTGCTGTGCTTGCACATACGCACAGCATGTCACATTTAATTTTTGAATATCTAATATTACCATGGTATTTCTTCATTTTTAAAAACTTGGGTGTCTATGTTAAAGAACCTAGATCCACATTTAGGCGCTCAAATTGGCCAAATCCCTTGAGCCTGCTCTTGTTGCGAAGATCACTTGGGCTTGGCTACCTTTCATCATGCCTCTAGGCTAGGAGGATTCCAAAACCTGATCCTCACATATGTCGCTCTTATTAAAAGAGAAATGAGGGAGAGTTCATCTATAGTACACAAAAGGACACTCTTCTAAACAACAGCCATAGCTTAGTAGCTTCTCTTGCTTCCTGTGGTTGCTTTTCATAACGATTTTAATTCACAAACAGAAATATTGTTAGAGTGCCTACCTGCATGTTACTTCCCCACTGAGCCTTGCCCTCCAGCAGGGAGTCCAGAACAGCCCTGCTTGGTTCTTCAGCTGCAGGATCATTCCCACTCACCACGTAGTAGGATGACCTCACCCTCTTGAAAAACTCTACATCGACATTCTTGCTATTACTGTGGTTGGGAATATATACCAGGTCAAAGTACACTGGAGGTCCTGGAGGCACAGCTGTGGATTTTGCTGGTTTGCTATTTCCAGATCCTTTTAAAATAAGCATAAAAGCTTGTCACTTATTGGTGGAAACACACATTTATTAGCTACCATTATACCATTAAAGGTGACATTCTTTTTTGAGAGGATTAGAGTTAGTACCTGCGTCACACAGCCATTGCTGTATTCCAGTGCACTCTGATGCCCTTATGTTGTTATCCTATTATATCTAATGGCATGCTCTAATTTGGTTATATCCCATATATATGTTTTATTGGGAGAAAAAGAACAGAATAAACTTAACTAGCTATCTGATAGAACAAAAATTCATTACAGGTATGGGCAACCATTTGAACTGTATTCAAGAATGATCATTATTAAGTATTCAAGAATTATCCAGTCACTGTGATTACTGAATTACCATTCAATTAATGAGATTTATTTTTTCTAGACTTTGGAATTCTCTTGCATGCCTGATAACACAACTCTCTGACACTTTTTCTTTTCAAGACATCAGTGTTGTAACTCAAGGCCAATTCTGCTTGCTTTACTCATGCAAACTGTCCCATTTACTTCAACGGGACTATCTGAGTGTGAAAGGAAACAGCATTTGGCACTCAGTTATGATATGCAGGTTTGGAACCTGTCTTGGGATTCTTGAGGCATCATTATGACAAGGATGGGAGATAACTGTTGATATCCTAGGGGTATCTTGCTGGAGCCTACTATATAGATGCAAAGGTAGAAGAAAGGGAGGGAGGAACTTGGAGCACACTAAAACCTTCTGAAGAGAACACCCAAGGGAACCAGAAAAAAATATCAGTTGTACAGTAAAGATAGTCTTTAAAAACACTGAACTACTTTGTACTAGAAACCTCACAGGGGCATTTTGAAGTAGTTACTTAAGACCGAGGGTTGCCTACTGGAGAGGATTATTAGTATGAGGGACAGCATCTCCTCTCAAAGACTATTTTATATGGAGAGTGGAGGAAAGGAAACTGCACAGATTTTCCTCTAGTTTTCATTTCTTTATTCTAACTCAGCCCAACCCTATATTCTCCTGACTTATGAAAGGAGTGAACACATATATATGTCAAAAGTAATCTTTCTAAATTCCTGCAATAGTATGCAAAATAAAATATAGAATTAATTTTCAAAGACAGCATGTACAGTTGTGCCCATACATTTGAGCACCCAACAATTTATGTACACAAAGATTTGATGGAGGTGTAGATACTCAAAAATCAGCTCTCGTGTAGATGGGGCCAGTTACATGTCTAAGTAACTATATGCACGTGCAAACATCTAATCTGTGCTACCCAACTGAATGTTTATGCACATAGGTTAGGTAGATGCAATTAAGTATGCCTAAATTTGAAAATCTGGCCCTATATTAACAAGTTTGGGGAAAGCTTCATTTTGCTACCAAGTCTTAGGATGCACATGTCCCAAAAAAGAGGTTTTTAATTGAAAAAAGGTGTAAATTCTTGACATTCCAACAAAAATATTATAAAAGACACTGCTATTATCATGCACAGGATAATGGCATGAGCTGAGAATCATAACTTCATCAATAACAAAATCCATTCTTTTAATCTCAGTGTGTTACAAAGAGTGCAGTTAAAGTACTAAGTGATTTTTAAGGCCAGAGAGGCCCACTGTGAACATCTAGCCAGACCTCCTACTGAACACAGGCCATAGTATTTCCCTGAATTAATTTCTGCTTCAAGTCCAATAGCTGTCATTGGAACTAGAGCATAATTTTTAGAAGAGCATCCAAACTTGATTTAAAAATTTCCAGTAAGGGAGAATCCAGGCCAATTATTCTCACTGTTACAAAATTGTACCTTATTTCTAGTCTAAATTTGTCTAGCATCAACTTACAGCCATTGGATCTTGTCACACCTTTGTCTGCTAGACTAAAGAGCTTTCTGTTATCAAATTTCTGTTCCCCATGTAGGTGCTCATAGCCTGTGATCAAGTCACCCCTTAACCATCTCTTTGTTAAAATGAGCAGATTGAGCCCCTTGAGTCTTTCAATATAAAGCATGTTTTCAAATTCTTTAATCACTCATGCCTCTTCTCTGAACCCACTCCAATTTTTCAGCATCCTTCTTGAAGTGCAGACATCAGAACTGGACACAATATTCCAGTAGCAGTTGCATATTTCATAATCTTATGTCATAAAAAAAAATCTAGTTTCTGTTCCAGCACTACAACATGCACTGTAGATTTTTTTTGTTCTCAGAACATACTTGACACCAGGCAGAAGTTCAGTGGGGAATGAAGTGTGCTATGGACTTCATCTTACTGCAGCTCAAAAAAGAATGTACCAACTATTCATCTGCATTGGGAGGCCAGGGATAGTGGAGCAGCATATGCATAGGAAGGCTAGAGATGGAGGAGTGCCGGTTTGCTAGGGACATATCCTCGTCCTGCAGCTTCTGCACAGGTGAACTCGGGGAAGGAGAAGGTTTTCTATCCCTCCTCTCTCCACCTGAGATAGCACAGATTTTGCTCAAAAGGTGCAATTTCTCTATATGAGATGAAATACATAGTCTAGTAGAAATATGTTCTGTTTCTGTTGTGATAATAATAAGCCACTCAAGATTTGTTTTTTTAATGTAATCAAGTAATATAAAGTTAAGCGTGGATTCATGATCAAGCCAGGAAAAAAATTACTTAACCCATAAAACAAAACATATCAAATCCCACATACAACAAATTGGTCAATATCTGAATTTTTAAATTTTATCTATATCTATGCAGAGAGATTTCCATTTTAACCATAATTTTTGTACTGTCAACTGAAAACCACAGTATTTTATATCAGATTCTACAGGTTCCTAGCTGCAGGATAAAGTACATTGTATTACAGATTATCCTTGAGTTCAACAAGCCCTCAGGGTAAGCCTGCAGGGGAACTGTGCCTTTTCAACTATCTACCCTGTAAATGGGACTTACAGCTTCTTTGAATGCACAGGAACGTCTGTAGGAAATGATCTCCCTATATGTTTAGTAAACCACCACCATCAGATTGTAGCCAGACTTCATGGAAGTGCATGCTTAGATAACTACCAGCCTTCTGAATACTTAATAAGGAATAATGCACTGGAACAGTAAAGCACATCTAATTTCCTATTACACTCACACAACTCAAACCAATTAACGGGCTTGTTCACTTTACAATTTTATTATGTTTATAATGAAGAAAATAGTTGCTTACTATTCATTTAACTTTTCATATAGCAATTTTCAGTTTAGCCAGCTGGCTAACAAATTGGACAAATAATAGTTGCACTCTATATTTCATACATTGCCTCTCTAATTGTTTGATATCAATTAACACATCTAAATCATTATTAGCTTTTTCCAGATTAAAGAGTTGATTCAGTTAATTTAATTAATTTAAATGTGAAACCTTATACTATAGATTTTTAATAAACATGGATTTTCCTCAGGCACACCTCACAGGCCAGATTATCAGCTGATGAAATATCAAGATAGTTCAACTATACCAGCTGAGAGTCTGGCCCCACATCTTTTCCTGATATACACAGGTCCTGATCTTTCCTTACCTGAAGTTGCAGTCTTTGCAGACTTTGATGTTGTGGAATTTGTTGCATTCTTGGCCTCCTTATCTTTTTCCTCAACACGGGAAGATTTTACTTCTGGAATAGAGATATTTTTTGCTGCTTTCTCCACAGACTCTTTCTTCTTTGGAGAAGCTGTTCTGGAAACTTTGTCTAAAGATTCCTTTAAGCCACCTGGCTTTGGTGAAGCCACCTGCTTTGATTTACCATCACTTTTTTTGGCAGGTGAGGAAGACTTGGTCTTAGTACCCTGCTTTTTAGTTTTTGTCTTTTCTTTCAGATCTTTCTTCAAAGGTTTGCCTAAGTTCTGATCAACAGGCAAAGCTTCTGGGTCTACCATTGAGACATCTGGGTGCCGGGGTGAAGGACTTCGGTCTTGCATTGGGACTGGTGGAGGGTCAATATGTTTGTATGTAATTGTTTTATCAGTTGGAATGGTTTCAGATTCATCTTCTGAGTCAATGTTAGCGTCTGCAGTAATAGAAGGGCATTCTTCAGTCTCTGGGGGAACATCTGAATCAGTCTGAGACGGAGCAGACTCGCTTACTGAGGTGGGAGGAGTTTCGTCACACTGGCGTGCTTGCTGTTTTCCTCCTGAAGGTGGCTGGGCTCCTCCAGACTGGGTTAATGGCTTTTCTTGTTCTTGAGACTGTTCTTCACTTGCAAACCACTCCAGGGGATTCGGGTTGATAAATGAGGGTGAAAGTTCAGTTTTGGGATGCTTGTATTCACAGGAAGACACAAGGCATAAATCGACATCTTGACGGGTTTCTGCTAGAGATGATTTTTCTGCAGCAAAATGTACGTCTGTCTTATAGGAGTAACTAACAGCCTCAGGTGACCTCGTGGTTTTCCCAGGTGTCTCATAGGCAAAACCAACAACCTCAGGTGATCTCGTTGATTTCCCAGTTGTTTCAAAGGAGTAATCCATGGCTTCAGGTGACCTGGTGGTTTTCTCTGTTGGCTCATAGGAGTAACTTACAGCCTCAGGTGACCTGGTGGTTTTCCCAGTTCTCTCATAGGAGTATTCCACAGCTTCAGGTGTCCTGGTGGTTTTCTCTGTTGGTTCATAGGAGTATTCTACGACTTCAGGTGACCTGGTGGTTTTCCCAGTTCTCTCACAGGAATAATCCATGGCTTCAGGTGACCTGGTGGTTTTCTCTGTTGGCTCGTAGGAGTAACTACTAGCCTCAGGTGACCTGGTGGTTTTTCCAGTTCTCTCATAAAAATAATCCATGGCTGCAGGTGACCTGATGGTTTTTTCTGTTGTCTCATAGGAGTAACTAATGGCATCTGGTGATCTAGTGGTTTTCTCTGCTGCCCCATAGGAATAACTAGGAGCTTCAGGGGACTTGGTGGTTTTCCCAGTTGTCTCACAGGAATAACTAACAGCCTCTGGTGATCTAGTGATTTTCCCAGTTGTCTCATAGGAATAACTAATGGCCTCTGGTGATCTAGTGATTTTCCCAGTTGTCTCATAGGAATAACTAAGAGCTTCAGGTGACTTGGTGGTTTTCCCAGTTGTCTCATAGGAGTAACTAATGGCCTCAGCTGACCTGGTGATTTTTTCAGCTTCATCTTTTTCTGTGGAGGCTAAAGGCTCTGGACTATGTTTTGTTAGAGAGTCTTGTATTGTGTCATGTGTTACTGAGGTATGGTAACCAAATATTTTATCTGAGGACACATGAAGTGATAGTGATGGTGAGTGACAAGCAGCAGTTGTTTCTTTGATCGCAGGAGGTGAATCTGAAAAACTAGGAGAGTATAAAGGAGAGGATTCTCTTGTAGTTAAAGGAGATAAATCAGACTTTGGTGAAAGCTTTTCTCCTAGGCTCTGCATCTTTTCTGAGGTAAATGAAGAATGCAGCGGCATATCTCTGGGTGGCATGACACCTGAGAGTGTTTCCTCTTGCAGTGGAGAAGCTATCTGTGAAGGTGTATGTTCTGATGAAGTTGAGGGTGAAGCTTCAATCTGAGATACTGAAATAATCTCTGAAAGATCTTTTTCTTGAGTATAACATGTCTGCTCCACAGGTGATATCTTATGTGAAAAAGTAGGTTCCTGTATCTCTGAAGGGCTATAATCTACTTCAGTTGGTCCATTTTCAGATATATGGTGTACGCTAGTGCCTACTGTGGGATGTTCTGGAGATTGTCTACTAAAGTCCATTGCCAAAGACTGCTCAGGGGACTCCTGACTGAATTCTACTGACATAGTTGACCGCTCAGGAGATCTGTGCTCTTGCACTGGTGTTCTTGATTTTGCAGTTTTAGGTGAAAAATCTGGTGGAGAAATTGACATGGGTCTCGGACATTCTTCTTTAGATGGAGACATTTCTGTTTCCTGAAAAATTGTTGGTGTTTGTACAACAGATACAGAAAGAGAATCATCAACTTCTGTAGAATGTGGTGATCCAACCTCAGCATGTAAAGAAGGAGAAACATCATCCGTAGTTGGCTCTGGAAATGAACTAGTAGCAACAGAGGCTGTGGAGACAGAAGCAACTCCTTCTATATGTGAATATGTGTCTTCTGCTACAACGTCATCAACAGGAGTTGCAGATTTGTCAGAGACTGTACCTTCAGATATTGACATTTTGGTGTCTTCTTTAAAGGATCCAAACTGGCTAACATCTATTTGTGTAGGAGAGACATCTCCTGCTAGCTTCCTTTCATCCAAAACCAGTGGAGACTGAGAACTGGTAGCTTCAATATCCTCCATATTCTTTTCTAGACCAAAACCTTTAGCTGGCATAAATGCCATACTTTTTTCATCTTGCTGTCCTTGGAAAAGATCCACAGAGGTGACTTCAGAAACTGGGCTTATCTGAACAGGGGACTCTTCTTTTTCACTTTTCTCCTCAAAATGACTCTCAGTCAGTCTGGCAGTTGACTTTACATCGGCAGTCAAAAATGTATCATATGAAGACTCTGAACCTATCAAAGGTGGACTTCGTAAAGGAGAGAGAACTTTTTCAATAGGCGATTCTGAGTCTGGCACAGGCTCATCCATAGGGCTTATCCTGGGTTTTGCAGTCTCATCTTTGGCATCACTAAATTCAAAACTAACCGGAGCCTCTGCTGCCTTTTCAATGAGTTCAGAAGGAAGTCGGCTGGTCTTTTCATCAGTGGGAGACTGATAATAAGGTGTGTGGCCTGCACTACCAGCAACAGATTGTGCAGGAGACGCCACTTCTAATGTTTTATCATCAGGGCTGACACAGTGCTCTTCAATAACTTCTGGATGTTCGTCAGGCAATGCAGTGAGCACTACAGGTTCAATTGATGCCTTAATCTCATTGGGAGTCAGGGAAAAGTTCACACTACGTTCACTTAGTGGTGTTTTAGCAACTGGTGACAGAGGTGATGGACTCTGAACTGGACTCTTAGCGGAGCTATGCTTTTCATTAAATGCCTGTGAAAAGGTATCTTTGATTTGTAATTTAACAGTACTTTTGATTTCATTTTCTCTTTGATGGTACATTTCTTGAAAGGAAGATTTGCAGAATCTGTCTTCCTCTAATGAAGAAGGGGGTGAGAGAGTAGAAGCTGAAGCATTATAATCTTTACCTTCTGTGGCATCTGTTTTTGATCCTTCAGATAAACCATTGAAAGCATCATGAAGCGGAGAGAGTTTAGGTCTAGTATATTCTTGAGAATACAGTGATGTCTCATACTTAGTAATGTTTACAAATTCTTGAGAAGGTGATTCACTTTCTTCGTTGTTCGTTTCATCACTCATGATATCCCGAGGAGTTGACATTTCATCCATTGGTGTTGGCTCACTAGAAATTTCAATGGTAGACTGAGTATAACCTGAAGTAGCAGTGAATTCCTCATGTTGGTCTTCTCTATTTTCTTCATCAGAAACAGTTGCTTCACTTTCTGAACCCCCAGGTAAAGTCTCATCATGAATAGAAGATGCTGGTTCAACAGCTGGGGACTGAGGTTCAGAGTGTTTAGTTGGTGTGATTATGAGTAAGCCATATTTATCTTCAACTTCACCAGCCTCTGCAGCTTTGTCTACCACAGCCATAACATAATCTTCTTCAGCTTCAACTTTTTCAGTTTCCGCTTCTTCATCTCTGACATCCTCCATTTTGTCTTCCTCCTCAGCTTCTTCTTCAGTTTCTGCCTTTTCAACTGTCTCTTCCATATCTTCTTCAGCTCGCTCATCCCCTGCCTCAGATTCTGCCTTTTCAACATATTTATCTTTAGTTTTAGCATGTTTATCAGCTTCAGTCTCTCCCATTTCTCTTGCCACGCCAATATCCCGTTTTGTGATGCCCAGTGTTGCTTTTTCTTCCTCATCTTCATCTTGTTCCTCAGCCTCCTCAGTCTCTGCCTTTTCTTCATAATCACCTGCTTCAGATGATTCCTCAAAACCAGTTCCTTCATCTTCAAATTTTTCATTGTCATCAACCCTGTGCTTTTCTACAGGCTCCAGCTCTTCAGGTGTCTGTTCACATTCACCCTCAGCTTCAGTGGTCGTTATGCCTTCATCAGGAGAGTCAGCAGGTCCTTCAGTATCTACTTTTTCTTTCTGGATTTCATGTGCTTCCTTTTGTTCTGAGTCAGCTAGTTTCCCTTCACCTTCTATTAACCCTACCTGAGGCTTTGTTTCCTTTACTATTTCTACTTCTTCAGCCTTTAATTCTTCAAAGTCTTTTGTTAAATCCTCTGGTGAAGACATAAGGGATCTCTCAGCTTCAAGCTCTTTTCCATTAGCTACTACTCCAGCAGCTGCTGCTGCTGCGGCAACCGCTCCCACTGCAGCCACAGCAGCTTGTGTTTCATTGACCTTGCTCTCTTTCTTTACCGTCTTAATTTTGCCTTTTTCCTTTGGTTTTCCAACAGGCCCAGCTTCCTTTTTAACAGATTCCTCTTTCTTTTGTGCTTTAGGTTTTGTCACAGGCTTTCGGGCTTCAGTTGAAGGAGCAAGTGTTTTCTTTGTTTCTTTTGGAAGCTTTTTGGTGTCTTTTTTGGATTCTTTTTCTTCCTTTTTAATTTCCTTTTTCTCTTCTTTTTTAGCTTCCTTTTTCGCTTCCTTTTGGGGAGTTTCTTTTTTTAATTCTTTTTTAGACTCTTTTCTCTCTTCCTTTTTCACTTCCTTTTTCGCTTCTTTCTTGATTTCTTCCTTTTTAGGTTTTTCCTCTTTCTTGGTAGGTGTTTTCTCCTCTTTCTTAGAAACCTCTTTCTTTGGTTTTTCTTTTTCCTCTCTCTTTTCTTCAGATTTTACTTTCGCTTCCTTTTTCACATGCTTCTCTTTTGCAACTTTTGGTTTGACATCTGCTGCTTGTTTTTCAGCAATTTCGGATTTCACTAGCTGCTCCTCCTTAGCTGTCATATCTTTTTCTGTTACTGAAGATTTTGTCTCTGCTTTTGCTGGTTTTTCCTTTTTTACTGTAGTCTTTTCCTTGCTTTCTACTTTCTGAGGCTTTTCTGGAGGACTAGGCTTTGCTGGTTCAGATGCTTCTTCTTTAGATTCTTTTCTGACAGTCTTGGTTGATAGTGTCTTTGTGGCAGGTTTGAGACTTTCCTTGCTGTCCGCTCGCTGTTTCAGCTTTGCTTGTTTCACTGCTGGGCTAGGTATGTTACCAGTAAGGTCTTTCTGTGTAACCATTGGTTGTTTAAGGAAATCTAAATGTTTGAGTTTTTCCAGTCCTTCTAGTATGTTATACTGGGTACTGTTTCCTGGAAACAAAACTCTGATTATTTTTTCTGCAGGATTTGCTGGATGCCATACGATCAGTGATGAGACTGAGGTCAAATAGGATACTGGAATATCTACTTCCTGACCATTTGGCAGCAATAATTCAGCTTTATCTTTACTTGTACTAGTCCACTGCTGCATAAAATACTGCATCTCTTTGCTGTTTTTGACTGGATTGAGCACATACATTTCAAGTTTGCCTACTCCCATTTTTTGAAATAAAATGATAGGGTCAATGGTATTTCCTATGCTTCTAAAGAGAGGTTCTGGTTTCATAGACAACTTATTTAAATACTGGAGAGTGAAACAAGCTTCTTCTATGCTTCTTTTTACCCTAAAATTAGGATCAGGGTTTTTCAGATTTTCAGGAACATTGAGGAATACAACTCCTAAATCAGGTGAGATCAGATTTTTCATCCAGTCACTGTTGGTAGTAGAACCTTGTGACTGTTCCTCTTCTAACTCAGCTATCTTTCGTTGAAGCATGCTATTGATTCCTGGTAGATTATCATCCCCAATGTGGGTGAGCAGAATGGAATCCACTCTGTCTAAATGTCGGATAAGTTTCCAGAAGCAAGATTTTCTTTCAGATCCCCCATTAATAAGCATATTGAATCCATTCACTGCAAACAATGCAGAGTCCCCTCTTCCACCTGGGAAAATATAACAGCAGGGTTTTGAGAGTTTCAAGAAACCTCCAGATGTTGGCGGTTCCAAAATGTCAAAGGGTGATGGCACTTCTACTGATTCTGACAGATACTCTGTGAATTCAGAAAGTCCTTCCATTTCAGGCAATATGGATGCTGAGTTGAGTTTAATGTTGATGAAGTCTTGAAGATTATGTCTGTCAAGGTTTGAATTTTTCCAATCCCCTTCCTCAGGGCAAAACAGAGTTAAACTGGCTTTGTTGGCAGGGTGTGTAGTACTCAATAATTCACCAATCTAGCATTGTAAAACAAAAAGACAAAAGGTAGGTGTAAATTTATATTTTATAATAGAAATGTCATATAAAAATATAACATAGCAAGGCTGTCCTTGGGTTACAGTACAAGCTTCACACTAAAGATACAACATTCCTTTTTATTTTTTTTCCACATGACAGTAGCCAATTCTAGGTGCTAAAGGAATCTGTTACTATCAGATTATTGCTGTACTGTTTTTAAATACAAAGGACCAGACTGTGCCTGGGCCCTTCTTAGGTGCTGAAGGCACCTCTTGCATCCTTCACAGAGAGGCTGGGTACAATGGGATCCTTATGCTCAGAGCATAATGTGAGGATTCCATGGTGCTGATGCTGCTAATAGTGCTACTCAATGCAAATGAACTGTGAACTTCTCCACTTCTCTTAACCAGCCAGTAGAGCTGGCGCCCCACCTAGGGGAGCACACATTATACCTTCTTTATGGGTCGTGATATAGCAGCATCCACAGAAGCTCCAGGAGGCATCTGAACCACAATACTTCCTGGAGCTCTTGCTGGAGCAGGATGCCTCCGCATTATTCCCAACATGGGGCTGTATTCCACAATTCTTTCATTATTTTAATGCCTTTTGAATGGTCTGGCGCCAAAAAAAGCAGGCATCACGCCAGAACTAGTTTAACTGCTGGCCAGCTCTTGACAAGAAGAGGAGCTGACAAGTGCTAGAAAAAGTTGTATAGTGGGGGTGCGGAGAGCCACTGAACCAAACTGTAAACCCTGTATATAATGAAAACCACTTCAAGCCAGTGGGTGTGGCAGCACCACCAGTTCCAGCACCTCTGGGAGCTGATTTACTGCTTCAAAGTTAAAAAAAGAGTTGAGAACAAAACATTTGTAAGATCATTAGGTTTCTGAAATATGGGAATTAAAGAGGCAGATCTGCATATTCTTAGTGTGCAATTTTGCAAATATACACATTTTGAATGGAACAATGGACTCCATAGCATTTATATATAATTAGATATTTAAAAGGCTATTAAATGGCAGTTGTATTAACACCATATGTTTAGTAATTAATCTCTGTATAACAGATAATTCATTAAATATCAATTTATATATGTAAACCCAGAGCAAAAGAGAGAACCACAGCTGAGTGTTGTGGCTAAACATCCTTTTGTCAACGTTTTGATTTAAAAAATCATGGACCACATTCTGAGTTCTTTTGCCAGTTTAAATCCTGAATAACTCCACTGATTTCTCCAGTGTTGAATAACATTCTGAGACCCAAAATAGACACTGAACTGAAGGCTTCTATAAACAAAAAGTCCTGTGTTCACTACTAAAAGCTATTATTCTGTTCTAGTCTGAATTAAAGACATATGTTTGGTGGTCTCAGATTAGTAAACAGAAAATAAAAGCACATAATATTTCAACCCTTCACTGACAAATTTCCACTTTTCAGTTTGCTCTCAGAGTTCAGAAATCAGCACAGCTATGAAATGGCTCCAAACTGAATGAGTCCTGGGGACTGGCATGGAAATAAACACACCAGGGCCAAATTCTACCCTTGGATACACATGAAAACTCCCAAGGCTGTCAATGGTAGTTGCATATGTGCATCCGAAGACAGAATCTGGCATCAAATGTTTCCCTTGGCTTCCAAAAGTCTCATATCTAGCAAAGACAGAAAACTTATATCTTGAAAGTGGATAATGGTTTTCCCAGACTAGGATCTGATAGAGACTAATAATTTATTAAAAGACACCACAAGATATTCTGTTTGTGAGCCAAAACAAATTGTGGCTGGAAAGGCCAGCTAAATGGTGACCTGGTGCTGCAAGTCTCTCCTTTGCCGCCACTGGGGGCCTGTTGGGAGAACAGCAATAAAATGTTACTGCACCCACTACTGTCTCTGTAACCAGAAGAGAAGGGGGATTCAGAACTCCTGAATAACTTTGTACTTAGTATTCTGCATTGGCAGTTCACAAAATCCTGCCCACTAGGATCAATAAGTTACATGAACCTGACTGAATTACAGTTGCCCCCTACCATCAAGAATGGTTTTTACATACACAGTGGGGCCTCCAGATTTAAATCCCAGTCATGGGGTAATCCCCACTGCATACACAGTTTCTATTTGTTTTATTGTAAATAAAGTATATGCAGGAGACTTCAACTCACTCATGACAAAGATATTACAAAACTGTTCAAGCATCTTTTTTTTTTAATAATTCAGTCAAATATGAATATGGAGACCAAATGTCAATGTAATTTGTGAGAGAGACATGATCGGTGAGATAATGTCTTTTATTGGACCAGTTTATGTTGGTACAAGATACAAGCTCTCGATTTCCAGAGAGCTCTTCTTCTCTGTTGAGCTCGAAAGCTCGTCTCTTCCACCAACATAAGTTGGTCCAATAAAAGATATTACCTCACCCATCTTGTCTCTCTCATATCCTGGGACCAACATGGCTACAATAACACTGCAAATGTAATTGAAGCATATTCACCATCTTGCAAACTATTACAAAATACTTTTCAGGGATAGTCAATTGTAATTTATATCTAAAAGAAAGACTTTTATAAAGATGATTTAGACTAGACTAGAGCTGAATAAACTGAAAATTTTGGACCATAAACTGGATTACCAAGAGGAATGGAGAGTACTATAATAATTAATGTTGTGTCTCTAGGAGACGTTTCATTTCAGTGGAACTCTGAAGATTTGTGTCTTGCTCTCCTATTTTTGTTGTTATGGAATTTATTTTCAGAATTTACTGAAAGTAAAATTCAACAGAGACACAGAATGAGATGGTGGATGTTAGCCATACAAAAATAATCTACCCAATGTGTATGGGTATCTAGTAAAAGCAGGAAAGGAATAAAATCTCAGAACAGCTGTTTTATGTTCACATGTCATCCTTACTAAGTATATAAACCAACTTATATAAGAGTATAAATAAATCTTATCCAAACATCAGACATAGCTTTGTTTGGAAGAGAGCAAAGACAGGACAAAAAAGGAGGGAGTAAAGAGAGGAAAGAGTAAGAGGAGGAAAATGGGAGAGCCATATTAATGGCAATCACAGAGAAAGGCTGGAAGGAGAAGAGTGGAGAGAGAGGAGGCGAGGACAGGCAAACTGCAGCAGTAAAATTAAGCACATCTGAGTGGGATACAGATGGTGCCTAATTCCTTGTGCTGGACCTCTGCTCAGGGGTAAGTTTCAGTCTATAAAACACACATTATTATGGGAAGATAAAGTGGCATGAAGTGCTCTTCATTCAGATCAGTGAGACAAAGTTTGATGGAGGGATAATGATAATTCAGTGCCTCTGATTTGGGTGCAGATGATGGTTTCCCATGTAGGGACAATTTTCAGGCAAGATCAGAGATTGTATGGGAAGAAGGTGGGTGAGTGGTCACTGAATTAGTGATGTTGATGGTCTGCAGCCTGGAAGGTAATAGTCATTCAAGCTTTTGTTTTACATTGATGAGAGGGATAGGTGTGTGATCACGTTAAGCCACTGGTTGGACTGATCAGTGAAAAAGTGGGTGAGCAGCAGTTTTAGACACAAATCCCTTCACGTGGAGTAGCAAGTTCAGGAATACACTGAAAAATGGCTTTGATGGAAGAGCTGATTTTAAGGTTAAATTGGGTACATGAATCTAGGAGACTAGATCTATGTTTGAAATGGTATAATGCACTGGTCCCCAAACCGTAGGACATGCCCCCTAGAGGGGTGTGAAGAAACATTTGGGGAGGCACGGCGGTGTTCAGGCCAGCCCCCAGCACTGCTATGTCCCCAGCTCCACTCTGGCCCCGGGCTGTGCTCCAGCCCTATTCCCAGCCACAGCCATGGCTCTGCTCCCAGTCCCCATCTTTGCTCCTGGCCCCACTCCCAGCCTCGCTCTGCCCCCTGCTCCACCCACAGCCCAGCTCTGCCCTTATTCCCTCTCTGCCCCCAGGCCAGCTCCACTTCAAGCCCCAGCTCTTCCCCCATCCCCAGTTCTGCCTCCACCTCCACCCCAAACTCCTCTGCTGGCCAACTGTGAAGTTATGGAGGTGGGCATGGAAGTTTCCATTACTGGTAAGGAGATGGGGTGCAACAAGAAACGTTTGGGCACCATTGGTATAATGAAATCATCCTCTGAAGATCCAATAATATTTTAATATTCTATTGCTCCCAAAAGTTTCTTCTGGAGTTTCTTTTCCTACTCATCAGGGTAAGTTGTTTCAAAGAAGAAAGTTGGCCAGAGGAAACTTTTTGCCAGAGGATGTTGTGAAGGCCAAGACTATAACAGGGTTCAAAAAATAACTAGATAAATTCATGGAGGATAGGTCCATCAGTGGCTATTAGCCAGGATGGGCAGGAATGGTGTCCCTAGCCTCTGTTTGCCAGAAGCTGGGAATGGGCAACAGGGGATGGATCACTTGATGATTACCTGTTCTGTTCATTCCCTCTGGTGCACCTGGCACTGACCACTGTCGGAAGACAGGATACTGGGCTAGATGGATCTTTGGTCTGACCAAGTATGGCCGTCTTATGTTCTTAAGATCAGCCTATGATGAGTCAACAGCAGGGTTCCTTTTGAGAGGGACAGGTGAGTTTGAAAAGAAAGTAGTTTGGGTATAAAAGAAGGGCAATGTTTGACCATCCTTACTTGACAGCTCTAGTGGATTGTACCAGTAAGTGCTTTACATGTTAGGAATCCATCTGACCATGTCTCTCAAATGGTAGGTTACACAGTAAAACAGAAGATCAGATAGACCTAGTCTGTCATTTTACCAAGACCTTTTTAACTATCTCATGGGAAACTCTTGGATTCTTTTAGCCACACTAAATAAATTGTGAAAAAATTAGGCTGAGAACTTTAAAAGAAACATGCGTATGGTGTATAGAGTCTGGAGACTCTATTCCTTTCAGAATTTCAGCTTTGCTAATGAAGACCATAGGCAGTTTCTCCCACTTTTTAATGTCATTGGTATGTTTTCAGCACTCTCCTCTCAGTTACGCTAATGCATACCTGTGACGTTGCACTTTATATGATTTTATAAAAATATGCTAATATAACTGGAATATGCTTCATGCAAAAGATCTCTGGTAAGGTATCATTACAAAGCTTATAATCTACTGAGTGTAATTATTCTATTTGTATAAATGTACCACTCTTGAATCTGAAACTAGAAATATGAAATATAACTTTGAGGGCCTATTGTAATTATGCAAAGTGTGGGCCAATAATGGTGGTTTGGAATCTTGATGACTCCCATTAACCAGGACAATTGACTGCAGATGGCTCTGTTTTACCTCTAAGTTTTTCTGTATACGTGTGTGCTGGCAAGTGGGTAATGAAGTCTTACAGTGACATGTGATCATGTCACCTGAACTGGAATCCATCTTTAACCTGGTACTTTTCCATGGGGGGGAAGGGGGGGACCCAGAGGGACAAAGGATTTCCACCTTATGCAAAAGATATATAAGTGGGTGGAACAGAGAAAAGTGGAGAGCCATCATGAGAAATCCCCTAGCTACCACCTGAGCTGGAACAAGGGCTGTACCAGGGGAAAGGACTGTGCCCAGACTAGGAAGGCATCCAGTCTGTGAAAGAAACTTATTGAAACATCTCTTAGGGTGAGATTTTATCTGTACTCAATTGTATTACTGTATTAGGCTTAGATTTGGTGTTTTATTTTATTTCACTTGGTAATTCACTTTGTTCTGTCTGTTACTACTTGGAAACACTTAAATCCTACTTTCTGTATTTAATAAAATCACTTTTTACTTATTAATTAACTCAGGGTATGTATTAATATCTGGGGGGGGGCAAATAGCTGTGCATATCTCTCTATCAGTGTTATAGAGGGCGAACAATTTATGAGTTTACCCTGTATACGCTTTATACAGGGTAAAAATAATTTATTTGGGGTTTAGATCCCACTGGGAGTTGGGCGTCTAAGTGTTAAAGATGAGAACATTTCTGTAAGCTGCTTTCAGTCAAGCCTACAGCTGTTAGGGAACGTGGTTCAGACCTGAGTCTGGGTTTGCAGCAGGCTAGCGAGTCTGGCTCAAACCAGGCAGGGCACTGAAGTCCTAAGCTGACAGGGCAGGAAAGCAGGGGCAGAAGTAGTCTTGGCACATCAGTTGACAGCTCCCAAGGGGGTTTCTGTGATCTAACCCATCACAATACCTATGAACTTCAGTTGAGTTGCACTGGTGCCCATGAAAGCAGAATTTGGCCCACAGTCTCTGTTGAGAGATGTTGGACCAAATTCTGTTCACAACTACTCTCATGCAACCCCACTCTCTCAGAAGATGTTGCAAAGGTGTAACTTCCTATTATCTTTTTAGATCCAAGGTGACAGTTGATACCAAGGAAAGATATCTGTTTTTTAAAACACTGTCTGTTCACACAGCGATAGATTTGTTAAAATGCATCAGTGTGGTTGCTCAGAGGGAGAGTGAATCAGATACGTGGGGCAGCCAATGTATAATGATGATTTCAAATTGTGAAGAGCTGCTGTTAGGACACTGGAATTGGATGTCTACAGTGATCTGGTAAGGGAGAAGTTGAAAATCATATGGCAGGCATTGCCTGTGGAAAGATCTGGATTTCTGAATTGGATTAAGCAACAGATTTCCCCACCTGAAAGGAATGACTTATTTACCCAACTGAAAATAGATTACTAACTACTCCATTCCCCTTCCCACAGTTTGGTTTTCTACAAGTAAGGGTAGGATTTGGCCCTAATTTTGTATGCATTTTTAAGATCACATTGTTTTATTAATCAGACAGGAACGCAGTACATTGTGGCTTATATCTTGTCACACACTTGTACATGATGCTAATTTTTAGATGTCACATTGGTTTCAGATATTATGAACCCTGTCCTTCCCTATGCAGCAAAAATAAACAGATACGTGTTGAACATATCAGTTGTTAATCCTACAGATTGCTGTGTGTCTTATTTAATGTTATCTACCAGGTAGTTGCTATCAGGCAAGAACTGATGTAAACAAGGTGTCAAACTTAATTGTAAAAGTAAAAGCCTTGTAAAAGTATACTGAATAAATAAGCTTTACATTTTAGACATGGGAATTTTACCTTCCATTTGTTAAAAGGCTCCCTGTTTTTTTATTTCGTAAAGTTAATATTGCAATTTGCCAAATTAAAATTTAATTTTGTTGATAAATCAAAACTAAAGTAATGAATTAGACATTTTGAAGAAAATTGTGTACAGAGGGCCAAAGGACACCAAGACTGAGGCATCAATGCTAGTTTCAAGTATATCAAGGTGGCCATCTTCAATGCATCGAAAAATATGTCATCATACTAAAACATTATGAAAAATTTTTTGTTAAGGACAAACCTCTTGGTCAGTGAAGATCTCAATGAAGTTCTGGAACGAGAAAGATCCTGACTGGAGAATGAGCTCTCCTGTGTTTTCAAAGCACTGGCCAGTTAGTACAAGAAGCTTGTGTCTTGCAGCATCTGTGATCATTAAGCGCACCTAAGGTAAAGAACAAAAGCACAAAAATTAAATGCAGCTACCACATTTCCAACCTTCCTCTTCGGTCCAAACCCTGCTTTGCCTAATTTCAAACCCACCCACCCATTACTGGGTTTCTACTCTGTAACGTTCCACTCCATATGTTTTATGGAAATATGCGTATGAGTGTGAATATGATGTAACTGGAATATGCTTTATGCAAAAGGTCTCTTGTAAAGTATCATAACAAAGGTTATAAACCACTGAATATATTCCTCCTATTTGTATGCATGTATCATTCTTGTATCTGAAGCTAGAAATATGAAGTATAACTCTGAGGTCCTACTGAAATTATCCAAAGTATGGGCCATTAATGGTGGTTTAGAATCTTGATGGCTCCCATTGACTAGGACAATTGGTTGTAAATGGTTTATTTACCTGCAAACCTTCCTGTTTACATATGGGCCAACCCAGGAAGAATGGACTAGGGTCTTACCATGACATGTGATTATATCACATGATACTGGAATCCATCTTAATCCTTGTACTTTTCCATTGATAGGGGGTGGGGTGGGGGGGACGGGGACAAGCACAGACAAAAGATTCCCGCCTTGTGCCAAAGCTATAAAAGGGGGTGGAGCAGGACAAACAGGGCTGCCAGTCATGAGAAAACCCCTGCTTACCACCTGAGATGTCTGCTGGAACTAACAAGGACTGTACCAGAGGAAAGGATTGGGCCCAGACTAGGAAGGAGTCTAGTCTGTGAAAGAAGCTTATTGGAACATCTCTGAGGGTGAGATATTACCTGTAATCAGTTTCTTAATGTATTAGGCTTAGACTTGTGTGTTTTTGCTTTATTTTGCTTGGTGACTTACTTTGTTCTGTCTGTTATTACTTGAAACCACTTACATCCTACTTTGTATACTTAATAAAATCACCTTTGTTTATTAATAAACCCAGAGTAAGTGATTAATAGCTGGGGGAGCAAACAACTGTGCATGTCTTTCTATCAGTGTTATAGAGGGCGGACAATTTATGAATTTATCCTGTATAACCTTTATACAGAGTAAAACGGATTTATTTGAGGTTTGGATCCCATTGGGAACTGGGTGTCTGGGTGCTGGAGACAGGTAACCTGCTGAGCTGTTTTCAGTTAAGATGTAGCTTTGGGGGGCGTGGACCAGACCCTGGGTCTGTGTTGCAGCAGGCTAGTGTGTCTGGCTCAACAAGACAGGGTTCTGGAAGTCCCAAGCTGGCAGGAAACATGAGCTCAGAGGTCATTCCAGCACATTAGGGGACAGTCCCAAGGGGATCTCTGTGACCAAACCCATCACATACTCTATTTATAAAGGACACTTAAAAAAGATGTTGTTGTATCTGTGTTGGTACCAGAATATTAGAGAGACAAGGTAGGTGAGGTAATATCTTTTATTGGAGCAACTTCTGTTGGTGAGAGACACAGGCTTTCACATTTACACAAAGCTCTTCTTCAGGTCTGGGAAAGCTTGAAGGCTTGTCTCTTCCACTAACAGAAGATAGTCCAATGAAAGATTCCTCCCAAAAAAGGTAGGCAGACAAATGGTTGACCTGTTATAGTGTACAGAACATGTTGTGCTAAAGTCATCCCTAATGTAATTCCATTGACACTCAGGGAGAGTTACACAGAATACCTAACTTATCTCACTTAAAAAAGAAGCAGAAAGAAAAAACAGTAAAGGAAAAATTAAAGGGAAGGGGATAAAAATGAGTGGAGAACAGGTACAATGAACAAATAAAACTGAAGAGACTGAAAAAGGAGCAAAGGACAGTCAAAAATTAAAATAAAAAAAAGTTACAATGGACCAAATGTATTCCTGGTGTACCGCTTCTGGATGTCAATGGAGTTATATCATGGACAATTTTGGCCCAACATGACCTCTACACTGTAACAGGTCAAATATTTGTATCCGCCTACCATTTTTTTGGGAGCAATGTTCTTCTTTCCCCAATGCATAGCACTACCTGCTCTTTAGCTAGAAAAACTTTACTGACAACTAAATTTATCATGAAGAAAAAAACAGGTATAAATTTAATGAAAAACTGTACAAACTTGGACTAGTTTTGTGAACTAAAAATAATCTGCCAAATTCATGAACGCTTATGCGCCCCAATATTCACCCATTCCTAACTTTAACCAATAGGAAATAGTCAGGTACACAATCTGTGTGATGCTCACAGTCAGAAAAAATGGACACTGGAACTTGCACTGTGCTGGCACAGTATATTATTCTGAATAGACATTAGCAAATTATATGGATGCCTGTTGGTTCAAAGAGATTACTACTGGTAGAACAAGTTTTTGAAGTTTTAAAGTAGATACTGAATATTAAAAAACTCTCTCTCTCTCTCTATGTATATATATATATATATATACATACACACACACACATATATATACACTCTTTACCTTTACAGATTATTTTCACTTTCAAAACAGCCTTCACTACATCTGATAATTCCCAAGTTTTACTACTGCTCTGTCACTGCTTGTAATACTTGACAGCCTTTTATCAAAGTAAAGATTGTAGAGCTAGAGGGATGTCTGCTGGCTAAATATGACTGGAATCCAACTGAGTTTTGTGTAAAGAACTGTGTTCTTGAATACATTTTTTGCAAAATATTTCTAAACCACAAAACAGCATCTCTCAGCACTCCCAGCAAGCCAGTTTTATAACTTTATATATTGATTGTTAAGTGATCAATTGCCCTAAATTATTCTGTCTCATGCCAGGAAGGATGCAGTATTGACCTAAATCTCTGTTCAACAACTCTGTTTTTAGAATGAGTTGAAAGGGGCCACTGAAGAGTATGGATCAGGAAGACTTCCGTTTTGATCTTATTAAAGAAATGGCCCTGAAGTTTGAACAGCAGAAGGACCCCGTAATTAAAAGCAGGCCTAATATGGGCTTGTCACTAATTGTGCTGGATGATACAATCCAACAATATCCTTGGTGGGTCAAGGATTTCTGTTTCAGAAGAGAACATTGATAAGTGCACCCAGCTGGCTGATGTATGTCGCTCAAGTCTCATCTGTTTTAGTTGTATTAAAATCCATTAAAGAACTGGCTTCCTTCTTTAATTTTTTTTTTCTCTTTGCAGGAGCAGTTCTGGGCAGTCAGCCAGCTTATGTATAAAACCACCAGCTTTTTCAGCCACAAAATTACTTCCTGTCTCATGAACCACCGATACATGACTGTCATATAATTCCCCTCAATTTTGTTTATTAACTGATAATTAAAGAGTTTCTACAGAGATAAAGAACTATGACAGAAACAAAACAAAAAATACTTGCAGTTTTTAGAACATAATACATAGCATGCATGGAAAAAATGAAGAGACAAAGATAAAAAGAGTATAATGATGGCCTAATGGGGGACTATCAGAATTCTGTGCATTGATATAAGACCATTACTTTTAAAATAAATTGTAATAAGGTAGTATAAAATGGACCGAGATATGTTGTGTTCAACCCTAGCCTTGGTTGAAGCCCTATAATTGTTCAAAGTAGATGAAAAGTATCAGGATGTCACACGTTGTTGAAAGAAAGCCCAGAATTAAGTCAAATATATGGTGTTTAATGAGTTTGTCTGGCCCAAAGAAATAGCTAATCAGAAGTTTTCCAGATGTGGTAAAGTTATAAAATTGTTATAGCAACAGAGCAGAATCTTCTTAAAATGAGAGAAACTGTCCATATACAGACTATAGGAAATGTATTTTGTTTTGGCAGTTGTGATGGGACAAGAATATTGCCTGTTTTGGACACTTCTTTCCTAGGGAGTACTTGCAGCTTACTGAACATGGTAGGATTTTTAGGCAGCATCCTGCTCGGTGCATAAACCTGCATCACTAATACGGTCATCATTACCACAGGGCAGGTCCCAAGGATTTACAATCACACCATGAGCCTTCTTCTTTCCCACTCTGACAGATATTCCATCCTGACTAGACAAGGAGATGGAACCAAATGACATCATCCCCTCCCTGGCTGTGTTCTGAGCTACTCCTGCGATATGAACTTAGTGTTCCTGATTGCCATATGGTGGGGTGAGATGGCTATTTCTACTCCCACTTTTTTCCTTCTTCCACTTTCTTAATTCTCATTTTGACTTTTGCCCAATGAGAGTCTGGCTTAGCTAGCCAAGATAAAATTAACCTTGTAACTTTTGGCTGTTACCAGTTTGGCAGAATGAAAGCATTGAAGAACAGCCAAATCTCAGGAAAAAACAAACAACAACAAAAAAACCTTTACCTCCCACAGACTGGTTAGAGGAAATTAAGAGTAACCTACCCAAACACTTTCCAGAGCCAGGGCAGTAAAGCCAGGGTGCAGGAGTTACTAACTGGCCTGCATGCCAACTGCTTTTCCTATGGTCTTCCATCATTTGAACTGCAAGCCTCAGAGACAGAAGCTGCATTTTCCTACCTTTTGCCATTCTTTCTTGACCCCCCACCCCCCCGTGATGTTTTTCTTCCTTTATAAGAAGAAAGGGGATCAGACTTTAACAGCAGAACCTAAGAGCTGCCACTTGAACTGACTCTCTCTTTTCTCGTTAAATAAATGTGCTGCAATTTAAGAGATTCTATAACAGCAGAGGAAATAAGAGAAATTGTAATAAAGATGACTTACTTGACATTTAAAGGTTTAAACATTTTGATTAGCATATCCTCCTTTTAGTTATGTGTGTTTAATGTTACACAATGTTAGTAAGAATCTCTTCTTTGGTAGTGTACAGCAATTAAAACTACATCCCTGCAACAAAATACCCATTTGAAGGTTTTATACTTCTAATATGTTCAGAGGGGATCATCCATATATACACTGAAAATTATTTGTTAACTGCATAAGTATCCCTATTTTTATCTGCCACACCTTCCTGGATGGAATGCTGCTTTGCCTCTCTCTCTAAGAGGGGTCTTGAGATACATGGCTGGTGCTTTGACCCTCTTCTAAAGAGTATGCAGGACTTGGAGATTTTTTGTTCTGTGATAGCCTCCAACTCTGTTGATCACGGCATGTGATTTCTTGGAGGAAAGATGTTATATACATGATAATCCTTCTCAAAGATCTAAAACGGTCTCAGAGGACCTGGTTTATATCAAGTTTAAAATAGACATACAGAACCAAGCCAGGGAGGGGTGCGGGAGCAGCAACACAAGAGCTCTCATCGCAGTTGCCTCCACTTGATCAAAAACAGATTTTAGAGGGTTATTGGAAATGTAACCCTGAGAAAGGAGATATGAGTATTCCTGTTGTATGTTCTTTAAAATCCTATTATGGGAAAGGGAAACAAGAGGAAGAGATCAGAGAAGGCTGACACATTTACTGACATTCACTCCCACATGTTCATTTATCTACAGTCAGAATACCCTTTCCTCTTATTCACTTATGGTGCTTTTATGACACATCCAATAAGACATTTCCAGCTGACTTACCTCAGTACTAACTGCTTCATCTGAAGGGTTAATCAGGACTACTGTTTCTAAGACATCACTTCTGTGGTGAAGGATTTTCTGACCTGTAAGCACAGGAGAGGAAAAAAGAACCATAAAGCTTCGTAAGTTAAAACCAACACTTATTTCACCTAAGCACATGTCCTCCAGAGGGCCATCTCTCACGGCACCCAGAGCAAGGGCACTGGCAGTGTCACCTACATGCATCCAGAGATGCCACCAATGTTCCCCTGGATGGGCCAGATCCACTGCTGAAGGTCTTCACCAACTGGCAGTAGCACCTACCCGTCTCTTCCAACTTCCCTTTGTGATTGAATTGTTCCTTGGTGTACCTGTTGGTCTGTCTGAATTAAATTATAAGGTCTTCTGAGTGGGGATCGTGGGCCAGCTTTTACGGGCCAGCTGAGGACCTGTCCCCATGTCTTTAATGTGTTTTTTAAGCTACTTCACCTATACACTCTATGAATAAGAACACTCCATGAATAATTTTCTGGGAGAAATTATTTATCAAACATGGAGGATCCTTGCAATGTTCCTGTCCCATATTACTTGATCTTTCGGCTGTAGACAGAATTTCTAACTGTCAATGTTATTAAATAAGAGTGAACAGACATTCAATATGCAGGTTCGTAAATGAATAAAGTCTGTGTGGTTTTGGTGCTGTGTCATGGCACATTGGCTTTCATAGTTAGTAGTTAGTCTGTCTCCGTATTTAATAGTGATATTCATCTCCCTGGGAGTGGGTTCCCTAAAACACAACAGGGCTCTTGACATTTTCTTTCTTATGTTAATTGTTGATATGCTTATCAGCATTTTTTCTGTGAGAACTGCAGCAAGATTAATTAGCAGCCTTATTGTGAAGGGAATGCCATCCAGAAACCCTGACTGGCAATTAGTCCAACAACCAGAATAACTGTCTCTTGCAAGCAGCATCTTGGTGTCAATTTAATTAATTAATTATGGCTTAAAGGAATGTGCAAGGAGCCCAGAGTAAACTGCCCATTGGCTAAGTTGGAAAATTCCTCTTAAAAACCTTAATATTAATAAATAAATCAGAAGCAAGCAGCATGTCTGGAAACACTTCCTAAGAGGGTGGTGTTGATTCAGCCTGGGTTGCAGGCATCTGAAGCTTCCCATGCAGCCTCACCGTCCCATTTTAAAGATTTCCCTGCAAGAGAATCCAGCACGGGAGTGCCACTGATATATGGGTGCTGCACATAGCACTTCCTCAGCATTACCAGCATAAGCTCCTCTTTCTGCAGTACCAGAGGATCACCATGTTTGTGGTGATTCTTCACATATCCTTCCCATCCTTGTGACCCAGCAGGAAGAGAAGAATGAAACTAACAAGACTTAAATGAGTTTCACTTTGCTGTTTCTCTTGTGGGCCCCTCTAGGGAAAGAGCAGCAATCCTGAGGGACCACACAAGAGACAAAGAAGGGGAGGAAAGACATGGAAATGAGGATGAGACAGGCACAAACAGGAATGAGAGAAAGGTGAACAGAAATATACAACCAGCTGATGGAAGAGGGATGAAGCATACAAATGGAGGAGGACAGACACTCGAGCATCAGGCTAGCGGCAGACCAGGAGAATTAAGGGCTGAGCTTGATCTTCCATTCTCTGTGCCAGCAAGTGAGGAGTGTTGCAGAGGCAGTGCATTCAGCCCCTGAGAGAAAAAGTATGTGCCTGTGTTGCTTTCTGGTAGCCCTTTTAGGTTGACTCATGGAGTAGTATCAACAGTCTCTGGAGGAAGCTCTGCCAGAGGGAGGCAGATTGTGAAATATCATTTTTAGAACAAGGGTAATAAAAGGAGAAACCCGTCAGACCACTACAATGGAAGACTGAAGCAAAGAGGAGGAAAGAGAAAACCAAAAACAAAGAGGAGAAAAGAGAAAGTCTATGTGTGTCAGAAATAAAAGCTGTGGAGGGAAAAAATAAACATACAAAATCCTGGGGAGGTGAAGACACACAATGAAAAGAGGACAGAACTAATAAAAAAGGAAAGAAATACAAAATGGGTAGTATAATTTAAGAGGAGAGATTGTATTTAAAGATTTTTGGCTAATAATACTGTGGGGAAGTACCTCGAAGCAGCATCCTGGAAACCCCATATTCACCCATGTCATATCATTATGATATATTTCATACAAAGCATGCCATGTAAGATATCATGTGAAAGATCCTGATCTGCTGAAACCCACTGTTCTGTCCAAATATGTATATTGTTAGTGTGTATGACGTTATGAGGCTTTGCTGTATGGTTGTTAGTGAAGTATGTTGTGAGTTTGGAAGTCGCCCAATGCTAATTTTCCAGTGACAACAACAAAGGAGGTGACCAACACCCTGGTGGGCATAGAACGATCATCACCAGCCATTGACCAGCAGGAGAACAGTAAACAAGGGATTAACAATTCAATGACAGTTGCGCAAGCACCATACAATGGGGACTGCTCAACTTTATGACTCAGTTGCACAAGACTACACCAGGGGGATTGCTCAATCCTGTGACTCAGCAAAGCCCACTAGGTTAGTATCTTCCAGGCACATGGAATGAAGATATAAAATAGGGGACAGTGGCATCATGCTTTGGCCTCTCTCTTCTCCTACCTACACTAACGCTGAGAAGACAAAGACTTGAACTGAGGAAACTGGTCCCAGGCTTAAAGGGGAAGCCTGTGTGTTAAGAACTGAAACATCTGGTGGGGCGAGAAAACTGCTTGATCCAAATACCTAGTCTAATAAGGTTTAAGATTTAGACTGGCGATTACATTTTATTTTCTTTGACCTTTTGTGCCTAGAACTTATAATCACTTAAAATCTATCGTTTCTGTAGTTAATAAATCTGTTTCAGATTTTACCTAAAACAGTGTGTTTTGCTTGAAGTGCTTGGGAAATCTCAGCTGAGTTTACAAAGGTTCGTGTGTCTCCTCTCCACATCGAGGGGTGGACTGGGCAATGAACTTACCCTGGTCAGGCTTCTGACCAGGGCAAGATGGCTCAGTTCTTGGATGCAAGGCAAGTGGCTTGGGAGATTTGCTGGTGCCCTTCTGTGTGTGATTTGTGAGTGGCTCAGGTAGCATCCTTGCAATCTAGCTGGATGTGTGGCTCCATATGCTGTTGTGCTGAGTGATAGCAGCACCTGGAGAGGTTTGCTGCCTGTCACTAGCAAAGCACCGTGAGAGACAGCCCAGGCTGGAAAGTTAAGGAGGCACAACAGTATCCCAATTCCAGGGTGTACCCGGGGATCCCGTCAGAAATACAGATAGCTTAAAGAAACTCAGTAATTGCGCCAGCTATTTTTTTCTATTTATGTTACTTGAAAGAGAGCATGAAAGTATGTACTGGTGAGTGGGGGAGGGGCAGGCATCACTCCTTGACAGCAAGTTTTAGGGTTAGCATTCCAATCTGTAACTTGATTTTCATACATTCACCTGTATCTCCCCAACCGAAACACATATTTAGGCCTAACTTCAATAAAACCTCCATCTAATTCCTTTACCACAGAAGCTTTAGACTCTAAAGTTTAGAGGGCCCTCTAAAATCTAATATGTCAAGGATTCTGCTGGCTTCCTCAGTGAAGAGATTAGGCAGTCTATAGAATATGGCCTTTAGTGTTGGGAGGAGAACAAAAAACCGGTCGTCCTTCACTTACTGCAAAGATTTCCTATATGATAATTTGGTGGCAATGAATGAAAATTCCGTTCCATGCCAAAGTATATGTAAGGATGCACAATTCCAGTTTAACACAAAGAATCAAATTCTGACTTCAGTGAAGCTGCCCCAGTTTACACTTCTGTAATTGCAATCTGGATTTGTATCTAAGTAAATTAAAAGAATGCTGATCAACACTGATGACTGTCAGCACACTACAAATGTTTAATCTCTATGCTATATAAACAACGACAACAACTGTATATACATACTGAGAGCTACATGAGGCAGTAACTCATCTCCTATTGGTTAAATTTCATACAACTGTACATTATGGGACCGAGGTGTGGGTACACCTAAAATATGTCTGATTTGGATATGGTGTGAGGTACACGAGGCTGAGGGCCAAGTGTCTATATGCCTTCAGCCCCACAAGATTTTAAAACATTTTAAAAAAATTAGCTCAACTAGATTTTTAGAGCAAATAGCCACTAATTTTATAAAACACTGCAGCTGTTCCTCTTTAAATGCTATTACTACCTTTGGAAAATGCTTTCAGTGATGTTTTTGCAACAACTCAGGCCGAGTCCTGACCTACATGGTTATACTAGATGTACCTGTGCAAACAAAAACCATCTGCTTTTTCTTTTCATAATGCCCTCAAACTGATGAAAAGCTGTGGGGATTCCTACAGCCCAAGATGTTGACTAAAAAAAAAAAACTGCATATAAAAATGAACCAGTTTTTTGCAGTCATGGGATTATCCTTGACAAGGTTTTCCCAACTTTCAGTTCATGTAAAACTCCAAAAATCTTTCTCCCTATCATAACTGCTCTTACAGCTGCTAATATGCTTCTATGTAAACTTTCAAAGAGCAGTGCAGACTTAAAGAGGGCTGCTGCTGGTTTGCCAAGAATTTTCATAATGTTTGTTTAGAAGGAAGGAAGAAAAGCCATTAAAATCTTGCAGGGGCTCCTCTATTGATATCATTGACAGCAGAGGAGCAGAAGCAGTATGGGCATTTTTCAAGCTGTAAACCGACTTCATGGTACAGATCCCAGGCCACCAAGTGAACAACAATATATGTAAGAGAACGTGGCCCACTCTGAATGTTTAATTTTTAAAAAATTAGCTCAACTAGATTTTTAGAACAAATGGCCACTAATTTTATAGAACAGTTACCCCTGTTTCCAAAGTGTCAGAAGAGAGGAAGAAAACATCATTTACACCTGCACAGAGTGAGTGCGAGGAAACACTGGCCATTTTACCTACTTCTAGTCACTGGACACCATGGATGAAGATGGATTCATGTTCTATTTAAAGAAATTAGGAAAGTAAGACTGATCGTGTTGGAAGAAATATTTTATGTCTTGGATCATCTTTGAATTTATTAGATAAAAGATTTGGTTA